TTGTCCAAAATGTGAACATTATTGTCCTAAAATGAGTTTCCTTTAGATGAAGGTTAATGGCTGATTCTGGTCCTGTGTTGTTGCTCCTCCTGTGCTGGGCCATCCTCCTGTGTAAAGACTGTTTGGTTTCTCCAGTGTAGACAAGTAGCGAAACGTCTCTAACCAAAAAGAAAAGAAGTCCAGTTGCCATGACTCAACCTCCAGATGATTCTGCCCCATCGTGCCTCCCTTCAGTCTTTCCCAGGCTGAACATACCCAGCGCCTCCCATCGTTCCTCATACATTTTTCCTTCCTTCTCGTCTTGGTTGCTCTCCTCTGGACCCACTCCAATGAACCAATGACCCCCCTAAAATGTGGTGCCCCAAACTGGATGCAATATTCTGAGTGTGATCTGACCAATGCAGAAGAGGGAGGAACAATGTCCAAACTTGGCACCCCGGCACCCCGCTTTTACACTGCCAAACTTTCACTGCTCAGCAATTTCACAAGGCCCCTCTCCCCAGGAGGAATTTGGCTGAACTCTCCGCTTGTGTATCCCAAGGCTGGAGAAACGCCTGCCTTGGGACCCCCCACTGCTCCAGTGTGTACCAGCAGCCACGTCAGGGAGAAATCCACATAAATGTCCAAAGAGTGAAAGAACTTTGGCTGTCATCTCTCACCAACACCACGTCATGCAGGTGTGAAACTTTACAGGTGCAGAAGAAAAACTGTGTGGCTGGGCAGCAGCATTCAAGGAGGGGGGTGTCGAAATCTGCAGGATCGCAACCACCACCTCTGCCATCCTGCAGATTTTGATCCCGGATGCTACTGGGGGCATTTCTCAATATGTGTCTGAAACGGAGCAAAGCTTTTCTGCATCATAAGGCTCATCGGCCAGATATTGTAGCAGTTGTGAAAGGAAGCATGAGCAACGATGGAAAATGGGTGAATGGGTCACGATGATCATTTTTACACTTTAAAATGCCATCTCTTGTGCCTGCTCTTTTTATTAGCTGGATATTTTGTTGGAGAAGAAATCCAAATGGCTTGCAGCTCTGGTAATAAAACACCCTTTCAAAAGGTATTTAAATTGGGATCCACGTTGGCCTCAGTCATGTGATTTTATTTTATTTTGCTTTTACCACGTTGGGTGATGCTGAATTTTATTAAACAGAAGTACTTTGAAAAAGACAGTAAGTAAAGAAATTGTTGGCTTATCAACTGTAAGGAACAGGACAAAATAACCATTATTTCTATTTCCACTGGTCTGTTTGTATTGAGTTTTAATTTTGTTAGCTGCCCAGCGCCATCATTGGGCAACCACATAAATTGATTACATAAACCAATAAATAGTTGGGATAGAACTAAACATGTTTCTACAACAGATGAGATAATGGGTCAATGTGTTGACTATTAAGCCAAATTATATAGTGATCTGATCTGGAAAAACTGAAGAATCTCTGAATAAGGTATTACTTATAAAATCTAGAGATCAAGTATATAGGAAATAACTGAAAGCTTGAAGTGACATTTGGACTTTGAAGAAGCAGGATTGGAAGAGCATTGACACCTTTGGACTTTGGTGTTGGAGAAGACTCCTGAGAAATCCGTGGACAGCCAAGAAAACAAACTGATGGATCATTGAACACATCAACCCAGAGGTCTCACTTGAGGCAGAAATGGCCAGGCTCAAATGATCCTACTTTGGACACACGATGCGAAGACCCAGCACTCTGGAGAAGGCTCTGATGCTGGGAAAGGTGGAACGAAAGAGAAGATGACCAGCAGCAAGAGGCATTGACGCAGAGTGTCAATGAGTGCACGGTTGGGAGACCTGAAGGACCAGGTGAGGGACAGTCAGTCATGGAGAAAAATCTATCTTTATCACTGAGAGTTGACATGATGGTGCCCAATCATCAACTGAAGTGACATGTAAAGTACATTTACATTCTTTTGCTTACCCCCCACCCCACCCTTGTGATGTAGCTATCCTACTTTGGAAAATACGTTGTTGCTCAAGTTTTGACTTTTGTTTGATTATGCAACATAACCTCAAAAACTGGAATTCCTTGTCCACTGCAAAATGAGATAAACAAAGCCTGTTTCCTTAGAACAGAGCTTGGTTTTTTAAGATGTCCCTTGGCAGTGGCTGAATTTTCCACGTGGCTTGAAGTCTTAAAGTACCCTGCAATCCGCTCCATTTCCACGGAGGAAGAAAACTGCTTGGGTCACATGAGATCCTGCACCGCAAACTAGGAAAATGCAATTTAGCCTGGTTGGATGCAAGTACAGGTTACTTCTGTCTGCTGTTGTGCAAATCCAGGCAATTGAGTTAATTCAACTGGTTAAGTAAACTTGGGTTTAGTAGATTGTGTGAATGCACAGCAACTGGGAATCACACAAACTCCGCAGGTTGCTCTCCACCCTCTCTTAAACAAATGTGTAAACACAGGACTGGGTTTCTGCAGCCAACGAGGGCTTATTCAACAGACTCCACTTAAGCTATGGCTTAATGTGATGTTTGAACTCATCCCATGTCCTTTCTGACATCCATCTTACCAATTCAGCCATGTTCGCTTGTTTCAGAATTATTAGCCGACGTGTACACATGTATAAAATGTCTTGTTTTTTAAAAAATAAAGAGTTTATTCTGGGAACTCTAGCACCATGTGTTAAGAAAGTTTTGAGTCCATCATCTTTTTTTTTAAAAGAATGTACAACAGAAACTCTGGCTGGTTAGGAATCATCACAGTTTTAAGAATACTCAGCCCATATTCTAAGGCACCCCCATAATGTATGCAATTGTCCAGACTTCAGTGCTTGCATTTGAACCTTTCCCATCATATTCGGAGTATTAGTACTTTGGAAGCAAATATCTTGGGGTGCCCATGGGGGGTTCAAAAAAGTCAGGGGGCCTCCACGGTGCATGTAAAAGAAAGGTGGGGTTTTGATCTCACCATCACAGCCAGCATCTGAATTAACTTCTTTAAGTTAACTTCTTTCTCCGCGGATGTCCTTGAAATACATTATTTGGACAGCCCTGCAACTTATCTGCTCACAGCTGTATACTGCAAATCACTCTAATTCAGTGTTTCTCAACCTCAGTAACTTTAAGACGTGTGGACTTCAACTCCCAGAATTCCCCAGCCA